AAAAAAAAAAAAAAAAAAAAAAAAAAAAAAAAAAAAAAAAAAAAAAAAAAAAAAAAAAAAAAAAAAAAAAAAAAAAAGGAAAAAAAAAAAAGGAAAAAAATTTAAAAAAACAGGGAAAAATGATGGGAAAAAAGCCAGGAATGGAGAAAATTCCCTGGAAAAAGGGAGGAAATTGGGAAAGAATTCCCAGAAAATCCCCGGGAATGTTGAAGGAAAATTTGGGAAGACGCCGAGGGAGGAATTCCCGAATTTTGGGGGGAATTTTGGGAATTCTGACCTCGTAGAAGAAGGGGTGTCCGGCCATGTCGAAAATGTTCACTTTGATCTCCCGGTCCCGGATCTGCACCCTGGAAAAGGCGTCGGAATTCCGGGAATTCCGGGAAAACCCCCCTCGGAATCCGGGAATTCCGGGAATTCTGGGAAAACTCCCTTGGAATTACGGGAATTACGGGAAAACCCTCTCAGAATTTTGGGAATTCCAGGAATTCTGGGAATACCCCCTGGATTTGGAATCTCTGGGTTTCCATTATTCCCATTATCCCGTTATTCCCGTTTTTCCCGTCGCTATTCCCGCTTTTCCCATCGTTATTCCCATTTTTCCCGTCCCTATTCCCACTTTTCCCATCCCTATTCCCATTTTTCCCGTCGCTATTCCCATTTTTCCCATCCCTATTCCCACTTTTCCCGTCGTTATTCCCATTTTTCCCATCCCTATTCCCACTTTTCCCGTCGTTATTCCCACTTTTCCCATCGTTATTCCCACTTTTCCCGTCACTATTCCCATTTTTCCCGTCCCTATTCCCATTTTTCCCATCCCTATTCCCACTTTTCCCATCGTTATTCCCACTTTTCCCGTCCCTATTCCCACTTTTCCCGTCACTATTCCCATTTTTCCCGTCGTTATTCCCATTTTTCCCATCGTTATTCCCATTTTTCCCGTCGTTATTCCCATTTTTCCCATCGTTATTCCCACTTTTCCCATCCCTATTCCCATTTTTCCCATCCCTATTCCCACTTTTCCCGTTTTTCCTCACTTGGTGACGCCGTAGTCGATGCCGATGGTGGCCAGGTACTTGGGCACGAACCTCTTCTCGCAGTACCGCTTGATGATGCAGCTCTGCGCGGCAAAACACCCCCCAATTCCCAAAAAAAATTCCCAAAAAAAAAAAAAAAACCCCAAAATTCCCAAAAATTCCCAAAAAATCCCAAAAAATCCCCCGCTCCCCCCTCCAGCCAATCACAGCCGCGGCTCCGCCTGTCAATCACCGCGAAGCCACGCCCCCCTCCCCTCACAGCGACACGGCCGCAGCAACGCCGCGGGACCAATCAGCGCGAAGCGCCCGCCTCCCCGCGGCGCCGATTGGCCGGCGCCGCTGCCCGTCACGGCGCGGCGGCCAATGGCAGCGCCTCACCTTGCCCACCTCGGCGTTGCCCATGGAGATGACTTTGACCCGCAGCGCCTTGCGCGGCTCCTTCCGCTTGGCCGCGCTCGCCTCCATGGCGGCGGCCGGCGCCGGGGCCGCTTCTGCCGCCGGGCCCGGCTCCGCCGGCGGGGCCGAGGGCGGTTCCGGTGCCGCTGCGAGCGGGGGGGGGGCCCCGGCGGGAGGCGGTGATGGCGGCGGAGCGGCGCCTCAGCCCCGGCCGCGCCGCGCGAGTTCTCGCGAGAGTTGAGGCGGGAAGGGCTCGGGCGAGATTGGGGGGGGGGGGGGGGGGGGGTTTGTCACTGTCACTGTCAGTGTCACGTGACCTTGTCCCGCTCCCTGTCCCTCTGTCCTGGTCCTGTTCCTCATCCCTGTCCCCAATCCTTGTCCCCTGTCCCCATCCCTGTCCCCTGTCCCCATCCCTGTCCCCTGTCCCCATCCCTGTCCCCTGTCCCCATCCCTGTCCCTCTGTCCTGGTCCTGTTCCTCATCCCTGTCCCCAATCCTTGTCCCCTGTCCCCATCCCTGTGCCCTGTCCCCATCCCTGTCCCTTGTACCCATCCCTGTGCACTGTCCCCAATCCCTGTCCCCATCCCCATCCCTGTCCCCAATCCTTGTCCCCTGTCCCCATCCCTGCCCCCTGTCCCATCCCTGTCCCCATCCCTGTCCCCATCCCTGTCCTCAATCCCTGTCCCCAATCCTTGTCCCCTGTCCCCATCCCTGTCCCCAATCCCCATCCCTGTCCCTTGTACCCATCCCTGTGCACTGTCCCCAATCCCTGTCCCCATCCCCATCCC